AGCGACACATGATGGCATAGTTTTGAAAGTAAAATAAAAATAATGATATATTACTAAAAGACTAGATTAATGAACTACATATATCTAGCCCAGACACCATATTTAAAATTTTGGCTGTGGGGTCTTTATTTGAACGAAATATGAGTAACTGATCGTGTTCTCATTAGCACTAGGTAGAGTTTCACGAGGACTTGACTTAATTTCAAATATGTTGTAAGGAGTCAAATATAAACTATAAAGCATTTTTTTAAATTGGAGGAAAGTACTCAGCTTAGGTCATAATAAAAATCACTCCTGCTGCCATAAGGAGTTACTACCATGATGGCATATTTATCAGTTCCCACACAGTAAGAACCTACCTTAAAAACTAAAAAGAAGAGTTTATTGTTGGTGTTTTTAATATAATTCCTGAAAATGAAATAGTATGAAGGTGATACCCCTTTTCTAATCATAAACGCGGGCATGTTGTTCCTTGCTTGCAGGATACCAACTTTCGAAAAATATTAGAAAACTTTTTGGGTAGTCATTCATATGGTCCAGACTAGCAATAAAGGGAGACATTTTATCCCATAAACTAGTTGGATCCCAACCAGCCAGACCATTCAATTTACAAATATGATTTTAAAATAAAAATTATACACAGCGTCTTTAGAGAAAGAAACAAATGAAAATACAATAAGACCAGGTTTTTAGAATTTTTTCTTCTTTATTATTCCCGTTGTTTTGTCTAATTTAATCAAATTTTAATTTCTTCTTGAGTCAGTTGCAGTACTTTGGATGTCTGTCTAGGAATGTATTCATTTCATCTAGTTTATCTAATTGGCTGATATACAATTGTTCCAGCATTCCTTATTCTTTCTTACTTCAATAAGGTCATTAGCAACATTTCTTCTTTCTCTCTTTCATTTCTGATTTCAACTTTTTTCTCTCTCTCCCTTTCTCCCTCCCTCTGTCTCTTTTTCTTGGTCATTCTACCTAAAGATTTGTCCATTTTATTGATCTCTTTAAATAACTGGATTTTGATTTTGTTGGCTTTCTATATTGTTCTTCTATTATTTATTTCATGTATTCCTAATGTAGTCTTCAATTTTTTAATATTCGCTTTGTTTCAGGGTTTTCTCTTATTTTTAGTGTTTGAAGGTGGAAGTTTAAGTTGTTGAATTGACATCTTTATTTATTTTCTTTGGACCACTCATAGCTACAAACTTCCTGTAGCACTATTTTGTCTGCTTTCCATAAGCCTTAGGATATTGTGTTTTCATTTATAGCAAAGCGTTTTATAATTTCCCTGTGATTTCTTCTTTGCTCTACTGATTATTTAGGAGTGTGTCATTTAATTTCTGCATACATGTGAATTTCTCATATTTGTTTCATCATTGAGTCCTAATTTTATTCCACTGTGGTCAGAGAACATACTTTGTATTATTTTAATCCTTTGACATTTACTTAGACTTCTCTTACAGACTAAATATGGTCTATCGTGGACAATATTTTATGGACTTGAGGAGAATGTGTATTCTTCTGTTGGACGGAATCTTCTATTAGACAACTGTTAGATGTAGTTAGTTTACAGGGCCGTTCAAGTCTCTTATTTCTGTCTAGTTACTTTATCTAATATCGAAAGTGAGGTATTGAAGTCTCCAACTATTATTGTTGAATTTTTCATTTCCCCTTTAACTCTGTCAGTTTTGTTTCCTATATTTTGGACTTTGATACTAGGTGCAAGACATAATTATTATATCTTCTCAATGCCATCACAGGCAGTCAAAATATGTAGCAGTTTTCTCTGATTGTTTTTGACAGACGCTCTGGGGAAGAGGCTGCTCTCACTAGGTAAGCTCAAGTCAGGTCAAGTAAAAACAACTTTGCCAGCAAGATCCATCAGTGAGGTAACATAATGATCATTGGGAATGGGTATTTGGAGGAACTGTAACTCCATTGTACCCTGCCAACAACTTTCAAGTTGCTGTTTCCACTGTGATTGTGGGTTGTTTGCTTTTAAGACTCCCATAGAATTGGGCAATAGGGTATGGAAATAAGAAAAGTTAAACTGCTATAAAGCTTACTCTTCTTACTTAGGTTCAGCTGTTTTTACAGATTTTGGCAAGGCTTTGGTTAATTCCAGAGTTCTAAAAATTATTCTGAGAATTTTTGCCACTCTTATCACTTTTATGTGGGAAAGAATACTTGGAGGTCCTTTCCATTATTACTGACATCATCTTTTTATTGACTTTAGTATATTTTACAATGTTTTAATGCATGGCCTCAAATTATACAAACTTTAGCCCATTTTATTGCTGAATCTATTCTGATCCATAGCTGAACACTAAGAACAATAATAACTTTTCACAATAGCTAATATTATTGAGTTATTCGTATGTAACATGCATAATGGTAAATTGTTTATACGCAAAGGTTCTTTTAAAACAACAGTCTAATAGGTTAAAGTATTCCTCAGTCTCTCTTTTTACAAATATAGAAACAAATACCTAGGTAGCTTCTCCATCACCACAGAGTTAATGGTAGCCAGGAACTAAACCCAAGAAAGCCTTTACTCTCATGTGCATATTCTTATGCATGCACTCTAAAAACTAAAATTTGAAGCTGCATAATAATGATGATAAAGATTTGGCTTCTCTATATAGGATGCTCCATCAAAGAGTAACATAAAAGAGGAGAAAATATTTACTTTTAATTTAGAAGTTGGTTTGGACAGCCACTCTCAGAAATATCTATTTTGAAAGATTTCTAGGAATACCTTTAAGAAAACAATGTCTCAGCAGGACAATTAGAACAATGGATTAGGGCATCCCTGGTTACTAAGACAGTGTGTAACACCACTTTGTCTATGAATGCAACAGTATTTGAAAGTAGCTAAAAAAGAAGGAAAATATAACCCCTCATTTTGTAGGTTGCTAATTGTTTGCTCTCAGATTTTTATTTTGATTCTTTACTTCTGTTAAATGTTTTGGCTTTAAAATTAGGGTGAGCCCATATACACCATGGAATACTATGCAGCCATCAAAAAAAGATGAGCTCTTCCTTTGTAGGGACATAGATGAAGCTGGAAACCATCATTCTCAGCAAACTAACACAGGAACAGAAAACCAAACACCACATGTTCTCACTCATAAGTGGAAGTTGAACAATGAGAGCACACGGACACAGGGAGGGAAATATCACACATTGGGACCTATCGTGGGGTGGATAGCATTAGGAGAAATACCTAATGTAGACGACAAGTTGATGGGTGCAGGAACCCACCATGGCACGTGTATACCTATGTAACAAACCTGCACGTTCTGCACATGTATCCCAGAACTTAAAGTGTAGCAGTAATAAAAAAAAATTAGAGTGAGCCTTATTTCTTATTTCCCACTTTCCTATTATTTTATAACTTGAAACCTCCTATTCCCCTTCTGTTGCCATTTTGAACATTCATTTAAATTATGAAGTATTTATGAATTATGAAATATAGATATACTTTTGGTCTAAATTAAAGATGTCAGAAGACTTTCATCGTTAATTCTACAAAATTCTGATATTAATTTTATCTCAACCAAGCCCTTAGAGTCTGGGTTAAATAAACATTAACTGATATTATTTCAATTTGACTTCATAAGTAATTTTAATCATTTCATGTAAGTATCTTCAGAATTCTATTTGGATTTTTTGATGACTTTGCATATGATTCCTTTGAGTAGAAAGCCCTTTTAACTATTGCTTATCCAAATTACCCAACCTTTAAATTTCAGTACAAAAGTTGATTCCTCTGTGATACATTCCTGACTTTCCACCTTCTGTACATCACTGGACTTTGTTTGCCCCTTTGTAACTGCATTTATCACATAGGTTTATAATTGTTTATTTACTTGTCGTATGTCAAACCAGACAAAAATTTATTTGAGAGAAAGGGCTGAGCTCCACTCAACACATATATACAGGATCTGATGAATATGAAAAGTGTCATAAATATTTTAGAATTAATAAAAGAGTAAAATTAATTTTAAAACTCATTAATTTGAAATAACAGGGTTGTTGGCTAGCCTGACTCTGGGAAAATTCTGAATTACATAAGATTTTATAAAACAGCAACTATATTTAAGGAAATAATTTCTATTAATTTCAAACGTGGAAAATATCATAAGATAAAAGGTTAATTAGCCAGTAATATCTGGGCAAATTAATTTCCAATAAGTTATAGTTCATATACTTAAAAAACTACCAGGTCATTAATGCAATAGCTTTTTTTAAATATACAAAAAAAGGTCATTGATTCCTAATGGTAGATACACAAAATAGGACCTTAATTTCCAGGTCATGTGGCTTTAACAAGCTATTCATTTTAACTGCATTCCAAAACCATAATAATTAATAAGGAAACAATTATTAAATATTTTTATTCAAGAGATGTTATTTATTTTTTGCAAAAAAGAACACAAATATCTCAACAGAAATCTTTCATATTAAAGGAATTTTATTACAATTACTTTCCATTATTCCATATGGCCTCAGGTACTCTGTTTGCTGTGTATTTATAAAATGAGAGAAAAGCAAAAGGTTAGTTGTAAACACATTTGACTCCATAAATGATTTTTTACATTTTTTTTGGTGTCAGCTGCAATTGTGTTTGAAGTGTCCAACTATTTTAAAATCAGTTCCAGTATGGGATTAAAGAACAAAAACAAAGTAATATGTAAAATAATTTATTTCTATTACTAATTTGAGGCTTGTCAGGTCACTAGCAAAGTTGCCCAAGCATTTGAAGAGCTTTAACCTAACAAGTAAAATTACATTGTTCTGAAATAAAGTGTCATCTGATATGACATTAACTTGCACCTTTGGGGTGTCTGGATATTGCTATTCAGGTCACTGAGAGAAGAGGAAACATACACGAAGCTGCATGAAAAAGATAATTCACCTTATGTAAGTGAATGTTTTATAGATTTTGTAGATAAAATAGATTTTTCATCTTTTCACTATATAATAGCTACTATATCTTTGTTACATATTTTTTCAGTAGCTTGGTTCTCAGCACATGAAAAAATACGTGCTATCATCTCATTCTATTTGTTTATAGCATATGTTCAAAATAACCCATCAGAATGCCTCTGAGTATATGTAAAAAGGAAAAACTCAAAATCACTTATAAAAAGGGAGAAAGAGCTTAGATATTTTTTCTTTCTTGGGAATAGGGGAAGCTTAATTAATATATTTTTGAAAATTATATAACATCAAATACCATCCAATCTGGTTTTCTTAGTACCTAGTGTGCTAAGGGCATTTAGGATATTTTTGTAGCATGTATTTGCCTTCTCCCCATATTTATTGCATTCTTATAGCATTTATATTTTAACTTATAGTTTTTATATTTTTATACATGCATATAAGCTGTTGCAATAGGCATATTGTAATGAGTCCAATGATTAAATAAAATGTGATTTTTACTTCTGCTGCCTCTACTGATCTTATTTTCTGCAATCACAACTGTTTTTATTACTAATATTAATAATAATAATTGCTTTTCCCTTCCCTCTAGAAAAGCAATAATAGTATGAGTGCTGAATCATATTTTTAAAAATCCAGAAACATAGTTGAAATAAGTGAACAGTTTACATATAGTTTTGACAAACATTTCCTCAAAGTCTAAAAGCTCTTAGGAAATAATGATGAGCTATGTGTCAATTTAGAAACAGTCACTGTCAATTTTTCTATATCCTCAAGAATCTTTGAATATAAACCGAATCCTTTTCTTGTTCTTTGTTATGATGACATAGATTTTATCTACACACAAAAGGAATAGGGCAATAGCACACTATGTTTGTAACTTATTTCACATTATTAAATTCTGCTCAAATCCCACCTTTTTCATATGATCTTTCCATTTAAAATGTCATTATTAATTTATATAACTTTAGTAATAGTTATGCCTCTCCTATCTCTATATATGCACACATGTATATAATATATATATTATTTATGTAGTTTTCATTAGAACTTAGGGCTAAGGGCATGAGGAGTCTTTCACATTTCTAATATTAATGTCATTTATGTCATTCTTAAAATAGCCCCTATGAATTTGTTTTATTAATGTATTTATGAATTCTTAATATAGAAAAAATTGCTTCTTTCCAGATTCCTTTCCAACATTTTTAAGACTTTATTTATTTGCTTTTGTTTATCTTCTGCCTCACCTAGCAGGCAGAGACAACGCCTAACGTAGAAGGCCCCTAATTTATGATGGTTTAACTTACTACTTTTAGACTTTACAATGGTGCAAAAACAATACACATTTAATAGAAACTCTACCTCAACTACCTATACAACCCTTTTGTTTTATACTTTCAGTACAGTATTTAATAAATTTTGTGAGTTACTCAACACTGTATTATAAAATAGGCTTTGTGTTAGATGATTTTGCCCAATTATAGACTAATGTATGTGTTCTAAATATGTTTAAGGTAGGCTAGGCTAAACTATGACGTTTGGTAGATTAGGTGTGTTAAACAGATTTTCAACTTATGATATTTTTAATTTGCAGTGGATTTATCTGAATGTAACTCCCATCGTAAGTTGAGGAGGTTGTCTGTATGTCATTATAATGATGAAATGTTAACCCTACCTAAGGGCTGATTAACATGAGCTCTCTGTATGGAGATATTTATCTACTCAGTAGGGGAGTTTCCATAAGCAGAGCAGCTTCACTTCTGTAAATGAGGAAATCTGCCGTTTGGGTGGATGGGAGCAATGAGCAATGAAAACATGAAAATGGTTGGTGGCAAACATTGGATGCCACTGGTAAAGAGGCCCTAAGATAAATACTTAAGTTCCTTCGGCTGGACAACAGCTAGACAATGACCTGTAAAGAAGAGAGAAGTTGTGACAACGGACTCCAGTGTCAGTCAAAATTTTGTAGATACTCTCAAAACCATGAGTGTGTAAAATAATATTTACCAGATTCATATTCTAAACTGTATAAAATAAATTAACTCTCTCCTCCCTTACAATGTAAATGCTTCTGCAATGTAAACAGCAGTTAACATTTCATATAAATAAAAATAATCTTAGTAAAGTTCCACTTAATATAGATGGTTCCCAAGTTACAATGGTTTAACACAATTTTTAGACTCCTATCCTATTTTTTTTCTATTAGCTGTTCTGTTCTCTTAATTTCCAGTTTTTAAAATGGTAATTATTCATCAACATTTGTGAATCCTATAATCTAATATGTGTATCGAAAGAAACACAAAATCAAAGAGAACTGATTTGTGGCAAAGACCTGAGAAGGTCTCAGAGGCCAGCCATAGGTACAGCAAATAGCAGCTTTGAGGCTTCACATTGCAAAGGTTTGTTGCAAGTCAATACATAAAGTATCTATGCACAGACACGCAGAACATTGGCATTCAAACATCTACTCCTAGGCAAGATGAGATCTGGGGTGTACTTTCCGAAATATTGAAACTGAAGATTGTCCTAGTAAAAATGTGGCCTAGGGTTGATTATAGGAATTAATTGATGGTGTCAAAAGACAAAACTAAAACAACTTTAGTTTAAAAATCTAATTGTCTTTTATTAGCAATTCTAAAATCAGTCAACATCTCATTCTCTGAAATAGAATGGGGTTTCTACTGGGCATTATAGAATGGTTGGTTTTTTTAAGGAAACCTCAATTTTTAAAAGTGAGTTGGTTAACAGGTCACTGTTGGTCACTTTCTTCGTAAGGGTTAAAATGGAGCTGATTTTCTTATTATGCTGACTCAAGTAGAATAAGTTCTTTCTGATTGGTTGGTGTCAACGCCCTGCTTTCAGGAAAAACTGACCTGTGTTGGGACCTCCTTGCATTAGTGACTCCATTTTGGTTTGGTCTCGTCTGCTGGGGCGAAGTGCAAGAGGCTAGTCCAAAACAATGACTTCCCATAACCTTTCTTTCATAATAGCCAGTAAGATGGTCAAATGCTCAGACTTCCGTGGCCATCTCACAAATGGAATTCTAGTAGCCAGTCATTAGTACTTAGCCAGAGCTCAAACATATCTCTATTGGAGAAATTCAATAGGAACAGAGAAAAGATCTCCATATATCTGCTTCTGCCTACTCAAATGGAAACTTACTTGTCACAAGCATCATTTGGGTACCTGATGTCTTTTTTAGTGTCTCACATCTATACATAAGACAAAGAATTACCTCTATTTGAAGAGAACTTTTAACTCAAGAAATAGCCTAAATTAATAAAAGAACCAATGAAAGTAATGGAGGGGAACAAAAGAAAATTCTTGTTAGTATCTTCAAAGGAGGATGATGGGGAAGACATTCCATCCACAAAATAAGAACAAGCTGCTATGCGTATAAGCCTTCTATTACTGTGTAATAAGTTACCACAAACTTGTGGCTTAGTACAACATACATTTATTATCCCACAATATTTCTGCTCAGGTCTCACAGCACTGCAGTCAGGTGTGGTCTTCTGAGTAATAGGAGTGAAATAAAAATAGTTCTTTCTGATTATCAGTCTTCTGTTATTATTTGATTTATTATAATAATGTGCTTGTGGTTTTAAATTTTAAACTTGTTAACCATGTAGACGTATCTCCTACTATAGCTGTTTTGGGGACATAATTGAATATAATTCAGATATAGGCATATATTGGTGATACTGTAAGTTCAGCTCCAGACCACCACAAAAGGCAAGTATTGAAACAAAGCAAGTCACACATTTTTTTAGCTTCTTAGTGCGTATAAAAATTATGTTTACACTACACTGTAGTCTATTAAGTATGCAAAAACATTATATCTAAAATCAATGCATTTACCTTAATTAAAAATTATCTTATTACTAAAAAATGCTAATACTCATCAGAGCCTTCAGAGAGTTGTAATATTTGCTGGTGAAAGGTCTTGTCTTGATGTTGATGGCTGCTGACTGATCAGAATGGTTGTTGCTGAAGGCTGTAGTGGCTGTGGAAATTTTTAAAAAGAGGACAAGATGAAGTTTTCAGTATCAACTGTCTTTTCCTTTAATAAAAGATTTATCTATTGAATGTGATGTTCTTTGATAGCATTTTACCCACAGCAGAGCTTCTTTCCAAATCAGGTCAATCCTGTCATTGCTTTATCACCTAAGTTTATGTAATATTCTGCATCTTTTGTTGTAATTTCTAAAATGTTCACAGCATATTTACCACAAGTAGATTCCATCTCAACAAGCAACTTTCTTTGCCCATTTATAAAAAAAAAAAAAAAACTCACAAAAATCCTCATGCATTTAAGTTTATCATGAGAAAGTTTGCAGCAATTCAGTCACATCTTCAGTCTCTACTTCTAATTCTCGTTATCTTGCTATTTCTACCACATCTGCAGTGACTTCTTCCCCCTTAAACCCCTCAAATTCATCCATGAGGGTTGGAATCAACTTCTTTCAAACTCCTGTTAATGTTCATATTTTTACCTTCTCCTATGAATTAAAAATGTATTTAATGGCATCTAGAATAGTGAATTCTTTCTAGGAGATTTTCAATTGACTTCACCCACATCCATCAGAGGACTCACTATCTGTGGCAGCTATAGTCTTACAAAATGTATTTTTTATGTAATAAACTAGAATATCAAAATTGCCCCTTGATCCATGAGCTACAGAATGGATGTTGTGTTCACAGGTATAGAAAACAAAACAAAACAAAACAAAAAACATGAATTTCCTTGTACATTTCCACCACAGCTCTTGGGTAACCAGATACCTTGTCAGTGATAAGTAATATTTTGAAAGCGATCTTTTCTTCTGAGCAGCAGGTCTCAACAGTGGACTTAAAATATCCAGTAACTCATGCTGTAAACAAATGCACTGTCATCCAGGTTGTTGTTCCATTGTTAGAGGAACACAGGCAGAATAAATGTAGCATAATTCTTAAGGGTCCTAGAATTTTCAGGATGGTAAATTAAACCTGTCTTCAGTTAAAATCACCAATGGCATTAGTCCCTAACAAGAGTCAATCTGTCTTCTAAAACTTCGAAGCCAGGCATTGACTTCTCTCTAGCTAGATAGCATCTTCTTTCAATAGAAGGTTTAAAAAAAAAAATCTGCATTGAATATCTATTGTTTAATGTGGTCACCTTCATCTATTATCTTAGCTAGATCTTCGGATAACTTGCTGCAATTTCTCCAGGTGCACTTGCTGCTTCACCTTGCTATTTTTTCTTATAGAGACAGCTTCTTTCCCTAAACTTCATGAACCAACCCCTGCTAGCTCCAAACTTTTTTCTGCAGCTTCCTCACCTCTCTCAGCCTTCATAAAATTGAAAATAGCTAGGACCTGGCTCTGGATTATGCTCTGGCTTAAGGGAAAATTGTGGCTGGTTTGATTTTCTATTCAGATCCCTCAAACTTTATCCATATTAGCAATAAGCCTTTTTCACTCTCTTATCATTCTTGTGTTCATTCAAGTAGCATTTTTAATTTCCTTCAAGACCTTTTGCTTTGCATTCACAACTTCTCTGTCTTATACAAGAGGCCTAGCTTTCAGCCTGTCTCACCTTTCAACATGCTCACTTCACTAAGTGTAATCATTTTTACCTTTTAATTTAAAGTGAGAGGCATGTGGCTCTTTTTTTCACTTGAACACTTAGAGGCCAGTGTAGGGATATTCGTTAGCCTAACTTTAATGTTACTATGTCTCAGGGAATAGGGACATTCAGGCATGACCAGTTAGTTTGTGGAGCAGTCAGAACACACACAACATTTACCAATGAAATTCACAATCTTATATGGACACACTTTGTGTATTCCACGCCTCTTAAAGAAAATACAAACACTAATGGGACCCACACATGACAATCAAGAAAAGAGGAGGCAAACATTAGCCGACTGGCCATTCCTTCACTGTTCCCATGCTCCACTTCAGAAGCTTCCCTCGTCCCTCACCCTGCCTCAGGGTGTTCTAGAAGACATGTTCTGAGAGTTATTGTTACTGCCTTTAGAGAGCTGCCAGACTTGAGGTATCCCTTAGGATCATTTTATCTTCTCAAACAAACCAATCCAGGAGTCAAAGGAGGGGTGAAATGGGAAGTATTCTCTAGTAATAGAAATAAAAGATGAGGATTTCAGCTGAAAGAAAAAGTAGTTCACTCCTTCTCCAGTAAAATCACGAGGGTTTGGGATGGTCATAAAGGCATCCTAGCATCACTCAGGCAGCCAAACTGTGAGCACTTAGTGACTCCAAAATGGATCCCAGAAGGACAATTCCATTTATCACATAAGAATTTTAGGGAGGCAGAACATTTAGAAAATCTGTCCAGGAAGCTCTCCCACACCTTCAGGCTCTGTAAACTAGTTTCTAGATACAAAATACATATATATCCAAAATCTGGCACCATGGGAAGAGTGGGCTTGCCAATTTCATAAAGAAGAAATGAATTAATGTTGTTTTAATTAAATCTATTTAATATAACTCTGGCAATAATTCCTGTCCAGTATCTCAGCTATTTCCAAGAGTGCTGAGAAAAGTAAAATATGCCAACACAGCCATATTCTATGAGCTTATTTCTTGAAAAATAGTTTCACATAACAAACACAAATTGCAATAATACACTACAAATGATATATATATATCTTCCTTTTTGAAAGCCATTTATTGTGTAGCTAAGAAGTTCCAGGCCTACACCTGATATCAAGCATAATGTCTGACCTTAAGAAGTTAGCTAGTGAAGAAGACAGAATCATAAATTAAACACTGCATTCAGATGAGGCACAAAGGTGGGCGGCACTTGGCTAGGACAGTTGAACAGAACTTCTCTTTTATGGTAAGAACATGAGAGTCATCCTAGTGGAAGTGGCCTTGAGCTGAAGGTGAAATGAAAGTTAGCTTGATTCCAAAATCAAGTGAAAGACAGCAGAGTGGATAACCTTTAGGACACTGTTTAGTGAGCACAACAAAAGTCAGCTGGCATGGAGCACAGAACTAGTGTAGCTTAAAAGAACAGAATTTGGTTTTGCTTTGTTTTCTTCTTACATAATAAACTCTCCTTAGGTAGAAAGCTTGACGTTAACACAGCTGTAAAAGGAGTTGATGGAGGACACAGTCTCCTTTTAGCTTCCTGCTCCACCCATCTTAGCATGCAGTTTGCTCGCTTGGCTGTTAAAACTCCAAGCATCATTCCCCATTTCAGACCAAAAGAAGCAGGGAAAGGTGAAGAGAAAAAAAACATGGCCCTCCATCTTTCTGTTTTTATTAGAAGAATAATAGTTTTTCCAGATGTCTTACCCAGTAGTTTGTGACTGTTTTATCAGGGACCAAAGTTTGATTGCATGGCCACCTTTAAAGGCAAAGAAATCCAGGGACATGAATATTTCTAACTTGACACATTGCCTTACACCAGAAAATGGGGTTTTCCTGGTGAGAAGGAGAAAGCAGATACTGTATTGGAAACTACTACCAGAAGTGCCACTTCAGAGAAGATAGAGTAGATTATTTTTCCTTATTCTTCCCACTAACTGCAACTAAAACGTTTGGAAAGTATGTGTAAAACAAACATAAGATTGCTAAAGGTAAAGAAAACTTAGACTTTCTAGGGACCTTGAGACTCAAGGGACAATATGGTGGTGAGTCCTCTGAGTTTTGCCTCACGTATCACAAATGTGGAGCTGAGGAAGCTTGCAACCCAGATATGTCAACAAGTTCAGATGAAAAAAAAAAAAAAAAAAGATCCCAACAAAACCTTTTAGTCAAAGGACCAGGAAAGGAGCATCCTAGCAAGAGAAAACTTTCAGATGATAACCACTGTACTACAACTAAACACTGAAAAAAAAAAAAAGAAAAAACTGTAGCCTCACCCACATGCCAGCAAAAGCTGAGCAGGGAGCCAAGATTTCCAATGTGGTGAAGCTGTAAAGAGGTACTACAAAACCTCTACTGGCAATGTAAAGAGGGCCAAGTAGGAAGCTGGAACTTTTGTCCCTGCTGTCCAGGACATCCCCTCTCCTTCCCACTCCTCCGTCACTACCATCAGTGGAAAGCCTGCATTTGCAACATCACCTCATACCATCACTTTCTGGGAAAGTGTTGGAGAAGGCCTAGTGGAAAGCAGAGGCTTGCAGCAGCACCCAGGGTTAACAAGCCCACTCACTCCCACTTAGAAAGAAGAGTACTTCCTTTCTCTTGTGTGTCAATTAAGGGCAATAGGAAATGAGAATTCTACCTTGACCTGCTGTCATAAAATAGCCCCAACTTTCTCCTTCTGTATTGGTATCAGAGAAAGCTAATAAGTTTTAAATAAGATCCATCATCTTATAATATGAAAATGTCCAAATTTCAATAAAGAAATCATTCATTATACCGAGAACCAGGAAGATCTCCACCTAAATTTTTTAAAGGCAATCAAACAATGCCAGTACCACTGCCATAAACACACAATGGGAAAAGGAGAGTCTCTTAAATAAATGGTGTTGGAAGAACTAGATATACATATACAGAAGAATGAAATTAGGCCCTTATCTCATATATATATACACAAACTAATTTAAAATGAAACAAAGATGTAAGTGTAGAGTCACAAACTACAAAATTAGTAGAATAAAACATATGAGGAAAGCTCCATGTCACTGGTCTGGACAAGGACTTTTTGGATATGATCCCCAAAGCACAGGTGAAAAAACTGAAAAAAACAAAACAAAACAAACAAACAAAAAAAACAGACAGATGGGAATACACCAAGCTGAAAACATTCTGCATAGCAAAGGAAAACGACAAAACGAAGAGACAACCTATTGAATAACAGAAAATATTTGCAAACCATACATCCTAATAAGAAGTTAATATTAAAAATATGTAAGAAACTCAAACAACTCAATAGTAAGAAAACCAGAGACATGACTTAAAAATGAGCAAAGATCCTGAATAGACGTTTCTCAAAAATAGGGTGACTATATTTAACAACTTATTATATATTTCAAAATAGCTAAAAGA